TTAATTAACACCCATATAAAGACCCTAACCTCATTAATCCCTCATAACTCACATAATTCCCAAACCCCAAACTCTCTTCCTTCTCTCTTCTTTCTCTCTCTAGTGAAGAACACCATTGAAGATCAAGCTAGGAAAGGTTTAAGGGCTTAAAAGATTCAATTTTAACCATCAATATTCATTAATTAGTAAGGTATGGGATTTAATTCACCTTTGAGACCTCTTTCTTCAAAGGGTTCCATCAAATTGATATTCCAAAAGTTGAGCTTTCAAGTGGGTTTCATTCAATTTTGAAAATTATGTAATGAATTGATTCGTTTATGATTTATTTTGGATAATATGAATATATTAACATGTATGAAAACTCAATTATGATATATCTTGATGAATTGGTCTAGTTTGTAGAGACTGACCTTTACCCCTTAACCCTAGGTTGTGATCTTAATATGAATTATATTGTATTGGTTCAATTGACTTGGTTATTGGTTGAATTACTACTAGAGGATGTTTTTAGACTAATAATGAATGAATTAGAGTGATTTATAGTCCTATCATGCTAGTTCTTGATAAGTTGATCTAGGTTATGAAGTATGTTGTGAATTTACCTAAGTATCCTGTCTTAAGCTATGAACTAGTATTGAATTGTGATCTAGTGATTCTTTTAGCCTTTTTATCATGTTGGTAATTGAATTATGATGATGGTATACCCTAAGTGGGTTGAAATAAGGGTTGATGTAATACCTTGATGATGAATTATGAAGGAGACATGGTAAGTCTTATGATCCCCCTCCTTTACTTCATATTGTGGTAAATTGTGATTGAGTCATGATGTTGTATTGGAATTTGCCTTGTATTAGTATTGATAGGATAGTATGATGTTGAATTGAAATGTCTTGACTATGATTTGTGAGGTGTTGGCTTAAGATGTATATGTTATAAGAATGGTGGATGATTACCAATGTGCCTTAGTATGAAGTGATATGTAAATGTGCTAACCTCACCTATATGAATTGTAATGAAAGGACAATACTCATGTAGTTCTTATTGAGCTATGATGATGATGATGTTATACAAGGGTTAGACCCTATGACCTACAATAATCTATGATGATTAATAAAGACATTAAAGACATTTCAAAAGGGACTCTAGCTTCCCACCGAGTGAACTAGAGAGAGGAGTGTCCCTTCCCACATAGTGAAGGTAGGATCACTAATGTACTCTTGAGATCGGAGACTACAATCCATGTACTATAAAGAGGGTCCCAACTGTACTCTTAGTTCTTTAACTATGTAGCCCACATAGGAATACTATCTAGTGGATCCACATAGTTGCTATATTCATGTTTTCGTATGACCATGGAAAGTAGTCCGCCTTCTTTCGGTGTAGGGTTCCATGCACCAAATTCCACATTTAGCTCATGTGCTCTATGTCGGTTAGGGAAAGATGTTTCAAAAAGGTAAAATAAACTAAAGGATTGAACTCTAACTAAGATGACCTATGGGGTTTAGCTTAGTCTAGGTAGGGGTATGAGAGACTACCTAAACATTGCACTAGTTAGCCATGATGGGAGTCTTAAGAGGATATTATTATGTATGAATATGCTTATAATTCTATATGACATGTATATGATGAACTTGCACATTGTTTATACTATATGTTAATTGGTGTCACTTATGAATATATGTTGGTATATATTGTTAAAGTATAATACTATGTACTCTTAAAGGTTATGGTATATGAACTAGGATGTTAGTCATAAGTCTTGTTGGGTTACTTGATTGAGTATGGTTATAGGGATTTGCTTGGTCATTGCACTTGTTCACTTGATAGGGGTTCATGGGTAGCTGTCTTGCTTTAGTTATGTTTAAATGTACTCTTATTCATGCTTGTTATTGTTAGGACTTGATGATAGAGTTATTTGGCTATGTATTCAACTATATGCTATGCATGTTGACTTAAATAGACTTAATGTTGTTGTTCTTGTGATGTACATGTCTATGACTTAATGAACATGTCCTATTGGTTGGTATGGTCTTGTTGAATGTGCATAAAGGTTTTAATGAAAAATGCATGATTATTGAAATGTCCCTTGTCTTGGCATGTTTTAAAAGTATGTGTGCATATGGTCTCGTACTTAGTACAAGTGGTGTACTAATCCTATTTCTTCCTTTTCCACAACATTTTAGGTTCCGTTCGTTGAAAGGATTTTGGAGATGACATTAAAGATGACTTGGATTTCTAAATCATCTAAGTAGGGCTCACTTTCCGAGGGCGATGCCACTATCTAGCTAATGGAGTTGTTTTGAGTGTAAGACTTCTATGTTTCTTTCTTTTCCATTTAGTATGAAACATTGTATATCCCATTTGAGGCATTCTTACTTTGATGTATGGATTATGCCCAAGTTCTTATACTCTTATTAGATGGTTATGAGATGAGACGATTATTATGACTATGTTATATTTTATATACTAAAGTGCAATAAAATTAGAAGACTAATCAATCTTCCTATACAAAGGGTCTATGTATACTCGATATATATATCTATGTGCATGTAGAGGTCTATGTAAACCTCGAAGTAGAAGTAATGAAATTTTTTAAATTTTCCGCTTAATTTGACATATGAATGTAATGATGTAAGCTAAGAGGTGGTCTTAGTCCTCAAAGAGGCCACCGCCGCTGGTTAGTCTAGGGGCTATTCCCGTATGTGACAATTCATATCCTAAAAAAATCATATCCTCATAAATTCATAGTCAAAATCATGATTAATGTATGGATCTATATATGAAATCAATTGGAAAACACGTAAACAATTGAATCATAACAAATAGGCCATATGGAGAATTAACAATCAAACCCTAATCAAATTAATGAAATTGGATTGGAAACATGGATATATTTTAAGAACCAATGGATGGATTGAATCAATTGGTGAATTGACACATACCTTAATGATCAAATTCTAAGAAGCAAGAGAAAATAGGAGACATGAAGGTTGGAACCTATCTTTCTTCCTTGAGTTTGAGAGAGAATTGGAGAGGATGATCTTGGATGAAACTTGAAATTTGAGAGAATGAGAGGGTTTAGGAAGATATAGGAGTAGAAAGGTAGTTATAATACTTAAAATTAGGGTCAAAACGACATAGTATAGGTATTAATTGTACAGTTAAACACTCAAATACTTGTAGCGACCCTCAAAATGAAATAAGTCAAACTAGAGCTTCACTTGTGTTTCATGATTTAATAAGGTGTTAAACTAATGAATAATATCTTTAGAAACCAGTTTGAAGAGTTTGAAAGTCGAACATGGAAAAACGACCAAGACATTCGAAAATAAAACTTGTGTGTGATAGTATGTCCTTGTTTGTTGTGCATCTTTTTAGGTATTGTTTGGAGTCTAAAACTAGTGGGAATGACCCTAAAACCTAGAAGGACAAACCAAGGGTAAAAATTTTATAGTAATACTCCCCGGGGACCACCCTAAGGGTCCCAAGGAGGACCCAAACGTGGGTCAAGAAAGCTGTCGGGCAACCCATATTTTGGGTCAAGGGCGCATCGCGCCTGCAGAACTTAAAGGGAAAATTTTTCCCTGCGACGCGGGGCTAACAAAAACCATTTTGTCCAAAAATAAATTCCAAAACCAAGATGTGGAGGTGCCCCCACCCCCACCCCCCACCCCCCACCCCCCGACATGCAGTCATGTCCCAGATTTGGTCGCGTCATTTGTAAGTCAAATTAGACTTTGGAAAAGGGTCCAATTAGTGTAGGGTCTTTTGGGAACTTTGGGGATTGCTTATGGATGGTTTAATTCCTCCATCAAATCAAAACCGTCAACTTCAAAACAAAAGCTCTCCAAAACCATTTCTCCAAAATCTCCATTTTCATGAAGTTCTAAAGCTCCAAGAAAGAAGGTCAAATTCTTCAAGTTCCAACCCAAATTTCATGGGATTTTTATCAATTAAGGTATGGTAGTTCATCCTTGACTCTTTTATCATTCAAGGAGCCAATTCTTACAAAAAGGGTTTCAAATTTTAAATTCTTCTATTTGGAATTCTATACATGGGTCTTTGCATAAAAAGGTTCTAATGGATGGATTATAATGTTTTCAATATAAAGTGATGATTTTATGGTCGAAAACTCAATGGACCCATGAATATGAAAATTCTCAACTTTTGACTTATGCAGTGAGTTTAATGTATATGATTAGATAATGTTAGAGTTGTGTTTTCCTTGTGTTGTATTGTGATTATGTACTACCATGTATGCCTTATTATGATTATTTATTGAAGTATTAAGAAAAGGTGGTCAAGGCTTGGATGAAGGGTAAGTTGAGATATATTGTTTAGTTCTTGTTGAATTGATTTTTAATGATATGGTTGTAACAACCCTAAAATGACTATGCTAAGTAATGTCTAATGTATCTAGAATGCCTAGATTAGACCAGGTTCACACGGATTGATGCCCATAGAACCAAACCTCTGAACCTATGCAACAGCCAAGCCAACTAACTTGGTGAACTAGTTGAGCTAGGAAAGTTTGAGTCCAGCCATGTAGGGCACCCAAATACGAAGATTAACCCAGATGAGTCTTAACCCAACTTAAAAAGGGTTAATCTTAAGTTTGGAGGGTCTAGGGGTAAAATGGAATTTCCAGGCTAAGGGTAGTACTGTAATTATCCTAATTAATTAATTAATTAATTAATATGGTTAAGGGGCAATTTGGGTAGAGGTGGACGAAATTACCCTTTAAGCAAAATCGTGCTCCACCTGGGTTCGAGCCTTGGTGGAAGCAATGATTTAATTGATTTATTGTATTTAGTGAATTAGTTAAATTAATTAATATTTAATTTGATGATTTAATTAAAGGAAAATCAGATTTTTAATATAATAATAATAATAATAATAATAATAATAATAGGGAGTCCTAGTTTGACTAAGTCTCCACCTAACTCTCCTAATCACAATCCTCTCATTCTCACGTCTCTCACTCTCATTCTCACATTTTTCATCAGCAAAAGAACTGAAAATAATAGTTCTTCACTCTTTAAGAGCTTACACACAAAAACTCAAATGAAAAGCTAAGCTAAAAACGAAAATCAACAACATTCTTCTCGATGGATTGTGTTTGGGATTTTGGTGGTGAGGCAGTGGTTTCGTGGGAAATTGGCAGCATTTAAACAAGTGTGGAACGACATTAAGGTATGGATTTTCTTCTCTCTTGGTCTCTTCCCAAGAGACCCATAAGTTCAGTTTAAATTCCAATTGAGAAACTACGGTTGTCCCCGTTGCATGCCCCTGTCACCAGACCATTTGAAAGATTCAAAGCATGAGTTGGTATGTCTTTTGGTAGATAATTTTAGGTCTGGTTGTGATTATGTGTTGAATGTGTATTCGGAAATCATGTAAGGGATGAAAAATATATTCCAGAAAAGTATATTAAGTTGACTGTTTTGAGCATGTGTGCGCTGAAAATTTACTATATTTGCTGCCTGAAATTTGTGTGTTAAAAATGTTGTGTTGCTGGAAAAATGTCACCTGAAATACTCCAAAAATCAACACAAAAAACTTGAGAGTAAGATGGATTGGAAGAGACTGAATTTCCAGCTTGCTGGAAATGTTGGTTTCGGCTAAAGATATGAAAAATGAACTATGTTTTAAAAAATTTTAAAATGTAAGGTCATTAGGGATTGAACCCATGACTTTACTAAATGTAAACTACATAAAAATTTCATGAGAAAAATTAAAGGAAAAATAAATGTGGATAGGGGGGATTGAACCCACAACATCTTGAATAGATGAGAGAGTTAGAAGAAAATAAAGGAGAAAAATAAATATGGTGAGTGGGGATTGAACCCACAACTTGTTGAATAGACGAGAGAGTTAGGAGAAAAATAAATGTGGAAGGTGGGGATTGAACCCACGACCTCTTGAATGGATGAGAGAGTAAGGAGAAAAATAAATGTGAAGAGTGGGATTGAACCCACAACCCCATGAATAGGTGAGAAAGTTAAGAGATAAATTAAGAGAAAAAGAATGAGCTTGTGGGGGATTCATCCCACAACCTCTTTGCCTTAAAACGGAAAAAAAAGGAAAAGAAAGAAAATATCATGGGAGTGATGGGGATCGAACTAGGGTCCCCCAAATCAGAAAAATGCAATCATTAAGTTTAATATAAGATTAAGTGTTGCTCAAGAGATTTGAAATTGAGTTCCCCTGCCCAATTTCGTATTGATACATAAGTCATATGTGAACAAATATTTAATGAATGTTGCCTCCAATGATCAAAATCAATATCTTGGCATATCTACAAGATGCATAGGTCTTGTACCACATAATCTTGGGTAAATATTAATCACTTAGACAAATTATGAACTTCATGGCTTGTATGTGTGGACTAATAAGTCTAGCATACGTTTAAAAGTAAGTGAACCTAAGATGTTATGTGATGAGATAATGAAACCCCAGAGGGGTTAAAAGTAAGAGTGTGACACACATTAAAGGGGCAAGTTCATTGGTATACGATGAAATAAACATTCACGTAAAACGGTGAGTAATTATGAAGATTTAATGTGCTACAGTTAAAGAATGTGGTGAAAACATGATAAGAGGCTAAAGTAAAAGGTGAGAAGAATCTTAAATGATCCTAAGTAAATGTTACCAAGACGTACTTACATATGAGAGTGTAAAGTTAATGAAGAGACCAGTCTCGATGAACACTCTAATGAAAGGATTGAAGTTAATGCATACTTAATACTAATGATGAGATGAGAAATCATCTAATGAGATATGATTCCCTCATGCTAGAAGTCATCTTCTATGATGTATGAGATGAATGTAATGGAACTTTATACTGAGCATCGATATGCTAGCTATGAGTTGCGATTCCTTCTATTGGGAAGGAAGAGGTTTGTGTAATTCTCATGAGATGAGACTGTCTGTCAAAACGGGTATGATCTCCTTATATATCCTAGTCTTTGAACCTATACTGTCAATATAGGGTTCTAGCAGGGTTTGACTCCCTTTATACGCTAGCATGTTTTTTGGCGGGTGATTCCACCGCTTTTTAGTGTGGCGTCAAACATTGGATTTCATCATGCTCACATGATAAATGTCAGTTAAGGTTAAAGTTCCCAAAGAAAGAATGAGGTCAGCCTCAAGTAATGTACACAATGAAATGAACGATATCAAAGGTGTTAGGATAGGATAATCAGGAGGTGAACTAGACTTAAGTAATGACACTAGGTCATTCTTGGTCATTGCACAGTGAATCCGATGAAAGTATTAAACTACATCCTAGGTATGATTGGTGTTTACACTAGCCTATAAATGAATGAAAGTGAACTACGTAAAAATGAACGAAGTAGCCTCTATTTTTTCTAAAGAAGGCTCCCTAGTTGAGGTCCCATATGTTAACCCCTCGTTTTGGGAAGTACTAATGTCATGGCATATGAAGAATGATATGAAATATGTTAGGTGTTATATGCAATATGTTATGTGTTATGTGCAATATGTTATGTGCTATATGCAATATTTTATGTGTTATGTGCAATATGTTATGTGTTATATGCAATATGTTATGTTTTGTGTGCGATATGATATGTATGGTGATGCATGTTACTCTCATAGCATGACTAACCTAATCCGATTTTGGCAAGTCTAGTGACTTGACTTTCCATAATTCATATCGTTAGGAGAGAGCTCTTCTTAATCATGTATGTCCTTGGTGTATGTTTGCATATACCCATACTTAGTACAAGTATGTACTAATCCCATACAACTCTCTACTTTTAGGTGCAGGTGCAGCTGGATGCTAGAGTTTATGAGTCGACGCTGAAGTTCTCCGGACATGGAGCTTTTATCCAAATTTTGTAGGCCCTCATACTTTTGAGTATGCTTACTATTTTATTCTAGCATTAGACGTAGGCATTAGCTAGTGGAGTATGTTCCACTAGTGTTTATTTCCCAGTTATTTCAAATATTGTATTGGTGCCATTTTGGCAACTTTACAGTGTATACAGATAGTGACTATGTTTTTCATTTGATTATTAGATGGTTGTTGTGAACGCTTATGAGTTTATGTAGATAGTGTTATGCGAGTTCAATATTTCTCACTATGAAGTCTAAGTAACTAAAAGTTTTAAATATTCCGCTAAAATTAACCTAAATGAAGTAACGATGATGTATGTAGGCTTGTATGCGACCTTTGAGAGGTTAACGATGCCGGTCTCGTCTGGGGTCTAGATTCCGGTTGTGACAATGGTCCACCTTTGGTGGCGATGTTATATATGTGTGTGTGTGTGTGTGTGTGTGTGTGCGTGCGTGCGTGTGTGTGTGTGTGGGCGCGCGCGCGCAAATTGTGATTATGGCCTTGAAGGCATTGCATGTGAAGTAAAGTGATGCTATGATGTATATGCATGTGGTGTCTTATGAAGTTGTTAATATGTGTCTTAAAGATATTATGTCTAAATGAAGTGTAATGCATATGCGAAGCATGATAGTGTATGAACTATGATGATTGTAGTAGGATATTGTCTAAAAGTGAATATTATTCATAATGGTGGTTATATGAAAGGTGTTCTCACATATACTCACACACACTATGGATGAATGAATGAGATTATGAATGTAAATTGGGGATTGTAGGGTAGACACTCTTCTTGAGTAGAGATGAAGTGTCTAGACCATTTCCCTATTATTCCTAAAGAACTCTAGTTATGAAAAGCGAGATTTTGGGTGAACACTCTTCGTGAGTTGAGATGAAGTATTTAGTAGAAACCTCACTATTTCCAAGAGCTTTCCAAGATAAGTTGGAGGTTGGATACTCTTCTTGAGTAGAGATATGGTATTTAAAAGTAATATCTAGGGATAAGTACTGATCATTAGTTGAGATAAGGTGCTAAATAGTTATCCCTTAACCTATAGTCGATAAATGTTTAAGACTCCGTGGGAGTTATGCTTAAAACCAAGAGGATTTGAAGAAAGGGTGGGTATACTTCGTGAATATAGATGTTGTATACACTGTACCTCTTGAGATGATTGATCCTCATTAGTTGAGAATGAGTTACTTAGAAGCAATCTCTTATCCCTTAACTATGCGCCCACATAGGTGTATCTATTGGAGATCCATTTAAAAGGCTAAAAAAGAATGACCTACCTAAGGCAAGTAGGGATTTCTCATCCGGTAAAGGTTATTACCGTTATTCCATGTCTAGCTCTCATGGTATATGTCAGTTAAAGCTAGCCCCCACAAAAGAATGTAAATGAACTAGGCCTTCCTTAGGGTGTACTACTTAGGGTAGATGGTCGAATGAGACGCTATCTATCCATTTCACATGTAGACATTTGGAGGGAGTCTTAGTGTGTCCTTATATGAGAATGTATGAATGTGCCATTATATGATGTTAATGGAGCTTGTTGACTATATGTCTAATGTTAATGAAGCATGTTAATTTTATGTCTAGTATGATGAAAGTTATGTAAAATATGAATGTGATGTGCCTAATTTAAGGTGATTCCTGGGGAACACTAAGTGGAAATAGTAGTATGGGATGCTACTTATATATTGCACTAAGTGTAACTTGGGAGTTGTTTTGGAGGATGGTCTTTATGTGAAGTTCCTAAATGCATGTATTTTTCCTTTAGTGTCTCTAGTAATGAATGTTTATTTGTTAAATGAAATGAAGTATGCTTGTCTTTGGTAGTCTTAAGGATCACTTAGATGTTGCTTGTCTTAGGTAGTCTTAAGGATCACTTAGATGTGTATTGAGAGTTTATATGGGCGGTCTCTTCATGTCTTACATAGGTGAGTCTTAGGATAACTTCGGATAGGAAGGTTTATATGATAAATGGAATTCTTGATAAATATGACTATATGTTGAGAAGTATGGAAGTTTTACCTTGTATGCTAAATGATGATTTGTATTATACTTTGCAACTTGATTCATGAAAGCTTTACTAAAATAGCATGAAAGATTTATTTCAACTGAAATGTCAACTTTAGCATGTTTTTGCATATGTCATACTTAGTACAATATTTGTACAAAATGCATACTCTTCTATATTTCTGTAAGTATAGGTGTAAGCAAGAGAAGCTTCTTAGAAGGCAAAGCTGGGGAAGTTGATTCTCTCAAGATTGGTATGTCCACATATGTTTGAGGACATAGACTATGTTTCTTTTAGTATCTCTCTTTTAAAGACTTGTATTAGACTTAGCGTATTTTCTTTCAATATAAAAGGTCGTGACCTTGTGATGTTAAGACGTGTCTAGTTGGCTTGTGATGATGAGATTTGTTCCTTAGTTTTTATAAAAGAGTTTCTTATTAATTGTTGTGAAAATTTTTAATTCCGCACTACTTTTCTTACCTATGTAATGAATGATAGCTAAGAGGCTTGTACAAGACCTTCGAGATGTCAAGTGCATCCTGTTGGCGACCTAAGAGTGCTCTAACTTCTAGGGTGTATTCTCGGGTTGTTACAAAACCTTCAAAAATAACTATCGGACGAACCCATTGGCAAACCTTAGGTGCAACTTAAGAAATCCCAAAATTCTATAATCTCAAAGACCTTTTTACATTCTATTGCCCAGTCTACTGGTCGGTAGACCTCTTTCGTAGAATATAGTTTTATGTTCAATGTTTTACCAAGTCTGGATCAGTTCTACGAAATCTTTCTATGACTTGTTGAACTACTACAATCTGTCAAATCCTTTCATAGGTCTGAGGCCTTGATTGAAATTTCTCGATCCATTCAAGGAGAGTCATCTAAATTCATCCTATCAAGTCATAGGTCAGATTTCAGAAACTTGAAATTTCCAAAGCTCAACTCATCTTCTACAATTGCCTTCCTCCAGTTCATAGATTGGACTCATATTTCATTACTTCTGGGGAATTTTTTGTACTTTTCACTTTTAACTTAAGTTTCCAATTTTCTAGGTGTTACAAAATCATTTTTAATGATTTATTGAGCAGAACAAAAATTATAAATCATCTTTAAGAGAGATGAAAATGGAGTGGTATGGGGCGGGTTGAGCTTAACCTGTAATACTTTTAACCCGCCCTGCGTAATAATCTTTTTCATTTTCAATATGTCTTATGCCGCCCCACATAGACCCTTTTGCATGAACCTGCCCCACATGAGATTTTTAACATTTTCTTTTTCAAAAAAAGTTAAGTTTGATACTTAAAATAATATTCATTAAAATAAATTCAAATTCTCATTAAAGTTGTATTAATTTAATAGATAATGAGTTACAATTTTATTTTACAGAGGTTAATTAAGAAGCATGTAAGAAACCATATTAGCTTTGAATGAATCATTTACATTGACTATCTTGAATATTTTAGTAGTTAAAGAAATTATCGTAATGAATAATGTCATGTCACTCTTATAACATGTAGAAGTTAAATTTAAGTTTGAACCCACATAGATCCACAACCCTGTCCCGTATCCACACCATCAAGTTGCCATCCCTAACCCTTATGATAATCTATTTTTTCAATTTTCTCTATTAATAATCATATATTTTCCAGGTTGAACAAAAAAAATTGATGAGAAAAATAATTTTTAATAACTAGTACATTTTCTCAATTTTTTTAGTCAGGAAAATAATATTATTAAGTTATTAAAGTAGCAACAGAGCCATTCTACAATTAGAGTATGTTACATAATTTCTTGCCATAGTTTTGCCATTTACCAAAACATAATTCATAGGGACCCTTCTTATACTACATATCCCTATTACATCAGATACCAAAATATTTGATATAAAATTCTGGGGGGGCGGGGCATAGAGTTTGATCGAGTCAAAGAAGAAATCCTTGGCACCTTCCTTCGCCAGCATATCTGCCACTCTATTTTCCTTTATGAGTGATACACTCAAACTTACTTCTCAATTGAGAAGTAAAGCGGTCGTGTCAAGTAAATAACACAACTAGTGAGGTTGGGATCGTTCCCACGAGGAAAATAGTCTAGACATAACCTCAACCTATTATTACTATCGTTTGGTCAATAAC